ATTTTTGGTTAAAACTGAAAGTAGCATTAAAAAAGAGGCTAAAACATGGGTCTGTATGCTGCTGCGAGTCAGGTCGGAGTTTTTCGGACCACGTCATACACCTTTACGTATTAACGTCACATGCACAGGTTCAAAAAGAAGGTCCGGCTCGATGTTTAGGTCTCAAAATCAACATTATACTGATGAAGATATGATGGCAGTAATAGATAATTCACTCACATCCTCATAAGACGCTCCTTCACCAAGTTTAGACTGAGTTCTCTTTGATTTCTCTTTCAGTTGTCAGACTTATCCACTTGGGGAAGGGGGCCGAAGCACAACCCATGCTAAAAAATGTTCTTCCGCACGTTACATGCAGTACACATTTTCACCAGAGGGGTCTCCAAATCCCCAAAACTTACAGAGTGAAGCTTGAATTGAAATATAAGAACCATTTCTGGTGCTATATAGAAAAGGTTTCTATATAGAACCATGTGCAGTTCGTTCTCCATCAGTCTGAAGAACAATTTCACCATGCAAGGAACCATTTTAGCATGAAATGGGTCTATACACAACTCCTGGTTCTAAACAATACTATTCCCTTTACTACCTTGAAGAACCATCTTTATGAAGAGTCAAATCTTCCAATATATTGCTTAAGTACAGTTATGAAGTACACACTTAAAAAGGATTGTTCTTCAAGGGTTCTTCAGTAAAGAAAATGGTTCTGTATAGAACCATAAACACTCGGCATGATTAAAGGGTTCTTTGCAATGTGAAATGGTTCTTCAGATTGATGGAGAATGTCCTGTATATGGTTTTATACAGAACCTTTTCGAAAAGGGTTCTATATAGCACCAAAAAAAGGTTTTGCTGTTATTACAAGCATGACATTGTAACAATAGAGGAACCATTTTTTGGTGCTGTATAGAACCCTTTACCATCTACAGCACATACAACACTTTCATGAGGCAAAGAACCCTTTAAACATCTTTAAACATACAAAGGGTTCTCTGGTTATTCATGGTTCTACATAGAACCATTTTCTTTACTAAAGAACCCTCGAAGAACCATCATTTTTGAGAGTGGACAGTTAGGCAAGTGTTTTAAACTCCTGTGCCTGACATAAATTTGGAAATTGAAGCTTTAAACGTGCTTTATTTTTTTATTTTGTACGTAACTCAAACAGAAGAGCTCAGAGTGAGGAAGCTGGACGACAGGGGGAGACTATCAGCGAGCGAGCGAGGTAGGAAAAGAATGAGAGAGAGAGAGAGAGAGAGATCTTGTAGCAGGGATGTAGTTCTGTTTTCTCCCATCCATCTCGGCCCGAGTGTGTTTTCACATAAAGCGCTACGGATGCTCAAGTAAAGCCACGTCTCCATAGCAACCACTCCAGTGAGATCTGTTTCTGGAGGAAAGCCCTCTCCACCCCCGCCAGCGTTACGCAGAGAACAACCTGCGTCTGGCTCTTCACTTTTAAGAGGTGAACGAATTGGACCCTGCAGACGTACTCCCCAAGAACCCGCCAAGGAACTCACCACGGCTCTCTCACAGACTGCAGGCATCTGAGGCACGGCAGGTTTATTTATAGAACCCGTTTCATACACCGCGCTCACTCAGAGTGCTTTAGAGATGAGAAAATACGAAGAGAATTCACATTATAATTTAAAAAGATGGAGAATAGAAACTAAAAGCATGATTAAAACAATAGAGACGCACTAAATTCAAATCAAATTAAAACTGAAATGAGGATAATAGAGTGAAGAGAAGTACAGCACACTGCAAAAAATGGTGTCTTGTCAAGTAAAAATGATCTTGCATGTAGTCAATAAATCCTGTTTTGCTTCTGTTGAGATTGTTTTAAGGTTAATTTAAGCTTATTTTCCTTATTTCTAGACATTTTATACTTGTTTTAAGTGATTTCATTAAGTAAAATTATCTCAATATTGGCTTGTAATGTACTTAAAACCAGCAAAATTATCTGCCAGTATAGTGAGATCACTTTACTTAATAAAATGACCTAGAACAAGTAAATAACGTCTAGAAAAAGGGTAAATAATCCTACAGCAAGTGCACGACCATCTCAAATCTTCTATGTCAACTAGAATCAAGATAATTTAACTTGACAAGAGACCATTTTTTACAGTGTAGAGCTAACAGTGTTCTAACCTGAGCTGAAAGCTGCTCAGATAGGAACGGATTTAAAGTGTCCAGTGTCGGGGTTCTTCTAAAGCTCTCTGTCAACTGGTTCCATCTAAGAGCAGCATAGTAGCCAAACACTGCTTCTCCATGTTTAGTCTTCACCTTCGGCAGGACTGACTGACCAGTTCCTAATGATCTGAGAGTTCTGCTCGCTGCAGCAGATCAGATAAATAAATCCTGCACCATTAAGACATTTATAGAGCAGTAATAGCACCTTTTATACTGGTAGCCAGTGTAAGGATTTAAGAATGGGGGGTGATGTGATCCCTTCTTTTATTCCTAGTGAGATTCTAACAGCTGCATTTTGAATCAGCTGAAGCTGTTTGTCTTTCTGGTTGTCCAGTTAAGAGACCATTACAGTAAAACACAGTGGGCGAATCAATAAGAAAGCTAGCCAGAGAATTAGCCCTCAACTCCCTACGGGACGCGACCAATGGCCTTACAATTTATTGCACACTTTGCAAGGACATCCCTGATCACTAATAAGACAAGAAAGGCGGTCTTCCAGGGAATACGGCACTAATCTCACACACATGCATTCAGTTTTGCACCTGAAGTTCCGCATTGAGAAGAAAGGAAACCACTGTAGGACAGAAATAGTTCTCAACATTTATAGCACCGCAACACATCTCAGTTAACCCTTGTGTGGTGTTCAGGTCTGTGGGACCCATTTTCAATGTTCACCAAAAGAAAATATGAAGTGATTTATTATTATTTCAACCTCAGATTCTTGTATTTTTCTCATTTTCTGTGAAGAACATATAAAATAACCCATTTTCAGTGTCTTCACTCTGTTCACCCCCCACACATTTATATTACACATGTGGTGTTGGGTATAAAAGTGTGGAGGTGCTGTGTCCTTCACTCTGTTCTCCTCCTACATGGCCTGCTGTTAGTGTGCGTGTTTGTATATGTGTGTGTGAGGGTGGACAACATGGACAGGCTGCTGACTGGCTACAGCTGCTAAAGGAGAACCCTACGCTGGACACTTGTGATATTTTAAACATCTGGTATTTTTATATAAATTGTTATGGCTGTATTGATTTAAAAACACAATAATACGGTGGGACCACCAAACCACTGAGTAACAAACATATCAACACCACACCAAAATGTCTCAGTGCTAGAACAAGCACTTTGGACTGGATTTAGCGCATTAAGTGTAGCTCTGTGCTCTTCAGATGGGATGACTTATACAGAAACATGTACATGATGCCGTATCCCAGCGGTCACCAGCCCTCCTGCTGGACATTAACAATTGACCACAATACACATTTTTGCAGGTTTCACCTCCAACTCAACATATACTCCTTCATGTTTCACCTCCAAAACAATCTGTATTACTGAAGGTCACCCTACGTTCCTGTATGTTCCATTTCCAGCTCAAATCTGTGTTCTTACAGGCTTCACGTCCAACAAAATCTACATTCCTGTATGTTCCACCTCCAACTAACGTTCCTGCAGGTTTCAGTTCCATCTCTATATGGATATAGATCCAATCTACATTCCTGCAGATTTCACTTCCAACCCACATCTACATTCCTACAAGTTCCAAGTCCAGCCCAAATCTACATTCCTGTAAGTTTCATCTCTAACCCCAATATACATTTCTGCAGGTAGCATCTAAACCCAGTCTACATTCCTGCATGTTCCACCTCCAAAACAATCTGTATTCCTGTAGGTTCCGCTTCCAAAATAATCTATGTTCCTGCATGTTCCACCTCCAAAACAATCTGTATTCCTGTAGGTTCCACTTCCAAAATAATCTATATTCCTGCATGTTCCACCTCCAAAACAATCTGTATTCTTGTAGGTTCCGCTTCCAAAATAATCTATGTTCCTGCATGTTCCACCTCCAAAACAATCTGTATTCCTGTAGGTTCCACTTCCAAAATAATCTATATTCCTGCATGTTCCACCTCCAAAACAATCTGTATTCTTGTAGGTTCCGCTTCCAAAATAATCTATGTTCCTGCATGTTCCACCTCCAAAACAATCTGTATTCCTGTAGGTTCCACTTCCAAAATAATCTATATTCCTGCATGTTCCACCTCCAAAACAATCTGTATTCCTGTAGGTTCCGCTTCCAAAATAATCTACGTTCCTGCATGTTCCACCTCCAAAACAATCTGTATTCCTGTAGGTTCCGCTTCCAAAATAATCTATATTCCTGCATGTTCCACCTCCAAAACAATCTATATTTCTATAGATTTCACCTCCAAAATAATCTACATTCCTGTAGGTTTCACCTCATACTGAATATTTGTTCCTGCATGTTCAACTTCCAACCCACATCTATGTTCCAATGTGTTCCATCTCCAACTCCAACACACGTTCCTGCAGTTTTCACCTGCAATTCAATCTATGTTCTTGCAGGTTTCACCTTGAATCCCAAACTATGTTTCTACATGATCCACCACCAATTCCGGTATACTTTCCTGCCGGTTTCACCTTCAACCCCAATCTATGTTCTTGCAGGTTTGACCTCTAACACCAGTATACGCTCCTGCATGTTCTACCTCCAACTCCAACATATGTTTCTGCATGTTCTACCTCCAATTCCAATCTCTGGTCCTTCAGGTTTCGGTTCCATGACAATATACATTCTTTGCAGGTGTCACCTCCAATCTCAATCTATGTTCCTGCAGTTTTCTTCTGCAATCCAACCTATGTTCTTGCAAGTTTCATCTCCAATCTCAGTCTATGTTCCTCAAAGTTTCATTAGTTTATTAGTTTCCAACCAATAATTAGAGCAGGGATTAAAATCACAGCAAGCCAAGAACTTTACACGCCTGCTGTTCTCATCCAAGCAGCCTTACCTGAGTGGGGCTGGAAGGAAACGAGGCGATTGGTGGGACGTCCAAAATCTTCAGGTCGTACATGACCCCATTGAGGATGACGGAGGGCCTGTAGACGTATCGTTCCTGGGTTGGACTGTAGCTCTCAGAGAAGTCGTTGTAAACGAAGCGGCGGATGATGGAAGTTTTGCCCACTCCAGGCGCTCCGATGACGGCGATGCTCAGCGTCTCCACCATCCCGTGGAGCATCAACACCATGGACAGCGCTCCAGAAACTCCAAAGACCTTCAGAGAAACCTCAGAGGAAGTGGGTTTGGGGGTCTGATGGTGAAGAACATCTTCATGAGCTTCACGCCACTGAATGTGCTCTCACCGTGAGAAGACTGCACTGCCACAGTTCTGTCCTGCTGCTATCTCTTCCCCGAGCGCACCATGTGAGCGCGGTCCAGCGATGCTGAAGATGCTCGGATGCAGCTTTCCATTTGGGGAAGTCCAGCAGCGCTCAGCCTCGCGCTCAGCCTCGCGCTCAGCCTCGCTCCTCACCTGCAGACCCAGCTTTCTTAATGATCCCCATGCAGATGTCCATCACCAGGAGGCTGATCTCGCACTCTCTGTCTTTCTCCTCCACATAAACAGCAGCTGCTGTTCGGTCAGTCCTCGCGCTCTGCCTGCTTTATCCTCGTGCTGCGCTCTCGCGCTCTTTTCCCCTCCCACAACTCGGAGCTTTACGCTACGGTCACACAGTCGCTGCTGCATTGGCACGCGCTGCTCCTCTCTCTCTCTCTCTCTCTCTCTCACCCCTCCTCTTCCTCCTCCTCCTCTCGCACGCATCTCCCGCTTTTCCTCTCTGTCTCACTTTACTTTTCACAGATGCTCGCTCTCTCTCTCTCTCTCTCTCTCCCTCATTATTTTTCTCTCTCTCATTCTCTCTTTCATTATCTCTCTTATTCTTTCATTCTCCCTCTCTCTATTGTCTTTCATTCTGTCCCTTTCTCTCTCTCTCATATTCTCTAATTTGTTTCTCGTTCTCTCTCTCCCTCTCTCCCCCCCCGCTCCTCCTCCTCTCGCGCACATCTCCTGCTTTTCCTCTCTGTATCACTTTATTTTTCACAGATACGCGCTCTTTCTCTCTCTCTCTCTCTCTCTCTCTCTCTGTCTCTTATTATCCCTCATTCTCTCTCCCTCTTTATTTTTCTCTTTCTCTCTCTCATTCTCTTTCATTATCTCTCTTATTCTTTCATTCTCTCTCTGTTGTCTTTCTTTCTGTCCCTCTCTCTCTCTCTCTTTCTCTGTTGTCTCTCATTCTCTCTCTCTCTCTTTATGTACATCTCCCAATTTTCCTCTCTGTCTCACTTTATTTTTCACAGATGCTCTATCCCACTCATTCTTACTCTCTTTCTTTCTATCTTTCTCTCATTCTCTTTCATTCTCTCTCTCTCTCCTCCCCGCTGCTTCTCCCCTCGTGCACATCTCCCGCTTTTCCTCTCTGTGTCTCTTTACTTTCCACAGATGCTCTCTCTCTCTCTCTCTCTCTCTCTCTCTCTCTCTATTTTTTCCACAATCAGAATCAATTTATACTTGTTTATCTTGGCTAAATCAGTGTTTACATGTGTGCACAATTCAGAATACAAATAGGAAAAATGTGTGACCATTTTTCTCTTACTTTTCACGCTCTCTCTTTTTCACACCCAGAATCACTTTATACTCGCTTAACCGAGGAATTTATCTTTATTAAATTTATTAAAACTCTCTTTTTCAGCCTCATTCTAATTCTCTCTCTCTCTCTCTCCTCCCCTCTCTCTCTCTCGCTCTCTCTCTCTCTCTTTCTCTCTCTCTCTCTCTCTCTCTCTCTCTGTTTTCAGGGCGTGTGCAGTGAATAGTTTTTGCCCACCAGGGGGCGCCAACCTGCGAGAATCGACCGCAAAAACACGTTCAGCCGTGCGTACTTGGGGACCCACTCAGTCCAGTCATATAATTCTGTATACCAGAACATGAAAAACAAATTTAACAGCTTTCGCATTTCCTGAAGGAAAAGGGTTCTGTTATAGTTACGATGTCAAGCTTGTTACAATAGAAGAACACTTTTTGGTGCTATATAGAGAAAGCATTTTTCCACAAAACACTGTCTTTGTTTGGACAAGAGGGGTTTTTGTTTGGGAGAACATAGCAACAACCTAGCAACACCTTAGCAACCACCTGGGATGTCATTGCAATGTCCACCTGGGATAACAACGCAGCAGCCTAGCAACACCATAGCAACCACCTGGGATGCCACTGCAGCGTCAATCTGGGATAACAACGCAGCGGTCTAGCAACACTTTAGCAACAACCAAGGATACCACTGCAACCTTCACCTGGGATGACAATGCAGCAGTCTAGTAACACCTTAGCAACCACCTGGGATACCATTGCAACGTCCACCTGTGATAACAACGCAGTAGTCTTGCAACACCTTAGCAACCTCCTGGGACATTATTGCAACATCCACCTGGGTTAACAATGCAGCAGCCTAGCAACACCTTAGCAACCACCAGGGATACCATTGAAACGTCCACCTGGGATAACAATGCAGCAGCCTAGCATCACCTTAGCAACCACCTGGAATACAATTGCAACCTCCAACTGGGATAACAATGCACCAGCCTAGCAACACCTTAGCAACCACCAGGGATACCATTGAAACGTCCACCTGGGATAACAATGCAGCAGCCTAGCATCACCTTAGCAACCACCTGGAATACAATTGCAACCTCCAACTGGGATAACAATGCACCAGCCTGGTAACACCTTAGCAACCACCTGGGACACAATTGCAACCTCCACCTGGGATAACAACGCAGCAGCCTAGCAACCACTTGTGATACCATTGCAACGTCCACCTGGGATAACAATGCAGCAGCCTAGCAACACCTTAGCAACCACCAGGGATACCATTGCAACGTCCACCTGGGATAACAACGCAGCGGCCTAGCAACACCTTAGCAACCACCTGGGACACAATTGCAACCTCCACCTGGGATAACAACGCAGCAGCCTAGCAACCACTTGTGATACCATTGCAACGTCCACCTGGGATAACAACGCAGCGGCCTAGCAACACCTTAGCAACCACCAGGGATACCATTGCAACGTCCACCTGGGATAACAATGCAGCAGCCTAGCAACACCTTAGCAACCACCAGGGATACCATTGCAACGTCCACCTGGGATAACAACGCAGCGGCCTAGCAACACCTTAGCAACCACCTGGGACACAATTGCAACCTCCACCTGGGATAACAACGCAGCAGCCTAGCAACCACTTGTGATACCATTGCAACGTCCACCTGGGATAACAACGCAGCGGCCTAGCAACACCTTAGCAACCACCAGGGATACCATTGCAACGTCCACCTGGGATAACAATGCAGCAGCCTAGCAACACCTTAGCAACCACCAGGGATACCATTGCAACGTCCACCTGGGATAACAATGCAGCGGCCTAGCAACACCTTAGCAACCACCAGGGATACCATTGCAACGTCCACCTGGGATAACAACGCAGCGGCCTAGCAACACTTTAGCAACCTCCACCTGGGATAACAACGTAGCTAGCAGCTTAGCAACACCTTAGCAACCACCTGGGATACCATTGCAATGGCCTAGCAACAACTTAGCAACCACGTTCGTTCACAAACCTCCAGTTTAGACTGTTCTCTGTAGAAGTGAGGAAAACGTGTTCACTTATTCTCACTTAGAAAATCAGCAAAGCATTTGATTTGACTGGGTGTTGAAACCTTGGCGTACAGCTGTACTGTGTCCTGTGGGAAAATAACAGATATGCAAACAGATCAACCACACACTCTTTCAACAGGCCTGTCAAACTCCACTCCATCTCTCACTCACTTCTCTTTGAACCCAGAATCAATAATGAACTCATTCATGCGCCTCTTTCCTGCGCGCAAGCCAAGAATGACAAGTGGACGAGGGTCTTGTTTCACAGACCCCAACCCTGCTTAAGAGACATATGGAGAGGTAAATTTGTTTACAGCAGCAGCTCTAGTGGATATTGTGGCAGCTCTATAGATCCATTCATTACTTCCCGCAGGAGTGGGGGGCTTTGAGTTGGCTCCCACTGGAGATTTAACAAGGCTTAGCACTGACGCTGTGTAGATCTAGTAAACACTGTGGTCAAACAACAGCTTACAGGGTCCACCTGCAGGACTGAAAGCAGGTAATCAAATACCGCAGCGTTAGGAGTGATTACGCGCTGTTTTCAGTGCACTGTTGTGGGTTCTCGTGGTCTGTAATAGCATTTCGTCTGTCCTGCTCATTTCGTGTCAAATCCAGGCCATCTGCACTGCACACAGTTTTTTCCTGCTTTAATATACAGTCAGGTCCATAAATATTTGGATTTCAACAGAGTTATTGTTATCTTAGCTGTCTCCCACAGCATATTGGAGAAATTAAATATTGAGTGAGCTCAAAGTGCAGACTTTCAGCTTTAGTTAGAGAGTATTTACATCCATTTTCATATTTCCCCAATTTATAGGGGCTTAAAAGTAATTGGACACAATCGTAAGTCAAATTGTCATCTTTAATATTTGGTTGGAATGTTAATGGCTGTGTTTACATGCACTTAATAATCTGATAACTGCAGAATATCAGATTTCGTCAGTGATCCATTCAACGTGTTTACGTGCTCTTGGGTAATCAGATAATGGGGAAACTCCGGGTCTACCTGAGTCAGACAGTAATCAGATTTCTGCTTTGCAACCAGCCAGTGAACTCACAGAAGACGATGTGATGTAATGTGAAACTTCATGCTGCAGCTTTTTTTTTTACCTGAAAATATGAACATACATCATCTGGGAGATGAAGAATATTTAAATCCTTTGCTTCGTCAAGCATGTATTTGGTTTCAGGGCAACGCTGCTTATTTCCGGTACCGACGTCTGTTTTCGCGCATGCGCAGGCTGAGAAATATGAAAGAAATCAGAGTAAGAGTTTACAGCACTGAAAAATCTGATTACTGAGCTAAAATCCAGCCTCTTTATCAGATTTCTAGACCTTACTCCAGTCTGAGAAGTCAGAGTGAGCTGTTTACATGATCATTTGAATAATCAGATAACTGCAAAAATCCGATTATGATCAGATTATTGAGCGCATGACTGCCTGACATCTGGACCCCATAGACATCACCAGACACTGGTGATGCTCTTCCAGGCTGTCCTCAGTTCCTGCATGTTCTAGGGTTGTTTTACCTTCAGTTTTGCCTCCAGTGAGTGAAATACATGCTGGGTTGGATTGAGGTCAGGTGATTGACTTGGCCATTGCAGAACTTCCACTTTTGTGCCTTAAGAAAGTCTTAAGTTGCTTCTGCAGTATGCCTGGGTCACTGTCCCTCTACACTGAAGCATCGTTCAGTGAGATTTAGAGGATTTGGCTGAATCTGACCACATAATAGAGGCCGGAACACTTCAGAATTCAGCCTGCTGCTTTTTTTCAGTGGTCACATCATCAATAAATCCAAGAAAACCTGTTTAATTGGCAGCCATACATACCCACACCATGACACTACCTCCACCATGCTTCACAGATGAGGTATGCTTTGGATCAGGAGCCCTTCTCTTCCTATCATTCTGGTACTTTTTGGCATTGTTATAAGATTGTTATAAGATTATTTATCTTCATTTAATGAGTAAAATCATCTCAATGTATTGGCAGATTGGGCAGCATGGCGGCACAGTGGACCTCACAACAAGAAGGGTTCGATTTCTGGCCGGGTGACCAGGGTTCTCCCCGTGTCTATGTGGGTT